GACCTACCATTTCTTTATGGGAGAATCAAAACCAGACCCAGGATAATTGATGCCCAGTGCTTAAATTATAGCAAGTTTTCACACAGCTTAAAGCATATCATATGTAATTGGAAAATAGCTGCTGGTTCAATAACACAGACAGTATCCCCTCAAGGACATTCTGGAAATCTGATATTGAATAAAAATGACAGTATGTGTGGGGAGAACAAACATTTTCGTTTGCAGAAATCTCTAAGTTCCAATATTACACTCTCATCACAACTCTCTCCAAAAGAATTTATGACAACAGATGCAGCTTTGAACCATTTCAATTTCTTACTAATCTGAAAAAAGATTTAAAGGTGAAACTGGAATTGGCAGGCCCATTAAAACCTGAGAACAAGTGTTCAGCAGTGTCTGTCCTCTAATCTGAAAACTGAGACCAGTTCTTGGTTCACTAGAGCCACAGAAAACTTCTCAACTACAAGGTCAGACTATGATATCCTTGAACCTTGGGTTGGCTTCTAAATTTACAGCAATTAGAACATTACTAGTAATAGCTGCTCAATTTGAGGGCTGAGCGTATTGCACCCTAAGAAAATATCCACTAATGAGAAATTATCACAAAATTAGGTAATATGTATATAAACACCATGCAAATGTGAAAGTGCTATAATGTTAGTATATAAGAAACACTGTAGTTTTGTAAAAGGCCTATAATTCTGTTGCTTGTATGTAAAATCATTCTTTTTTTAAAGTCAGACACAGTACAAGGATTGGTACTATGACTATTTTATTTTACTACTAAACTAGAGGGAGTAGAAGTCCAATAAGACAAGAAAATGTAGGATTTGTAAAGGTGTATTGGAATTACTCTATTACAGGTTATATAAAAAGTAACTTATTAAGAACAAAGATTCATTAATGTTTACTCAGTTCTATAATAGATATGCACAAGGAAAGGCATACTGCTGAATATTATCCTATCAATAAAAATGAAAGGAGATAAATTTCACCCACTAGCCTTTAGCTTACATGATTAGCTTTTACAGATGTGGGATCAGAGTTATAAAATGAAAGGGCCGTGATTTCCATTGGATTCAATAAGCAAATTAAGGCAAGCAAGCAAGCTCAGCAGGTAAGTGCACCTGCTGCCAAGCAGCCTGACAAAACAAGCTGAGTTTAATCCCTGGGACTCTTCACAGGATGGAAGAAGAGATTTGACTCTTGTGATTGGTCCCCTGACCTTCACATGTACACACATGCCCTCCAGCACACCCAACACACAGAGTGTAAATACATTAATTTTTAAAAAGAGAAAGAAGCTTGAAAACAATTGTTTAGTCCAATACTAGTTATGAAAATGCCATATAATAAATATATACTATAATTATGCAAAACTATTTTATATGATACTACCAACTAAGGTTTTCTGATAAGCCCAAACTACTAAAAAACAGCAAGTCGAGAAGAAAAGACAGGTCAGTCACAAGCTAACTGGTCCATGCAGTAGAACTCTAGCAAATTTTAGGTTCCACAATATTTTTTCATAGATGTATCTCTACTAACCTATACCATACAACATACTATAAAGTTATTTATGGTACATATAATAAGATTAAATTCCTGAATAACTTTTGTTTGATCCTTTGAATTTTATTTTATTTTCCATATATTCAAAAATTTAGTAAAATTTATGCTACTCCTCAATAAGTATCTTAGATCCATATTTTGTAACCTTCTTCATTCAGAAAGAGCTTTACCACTTTCCATTTATGTGGTAAAATACGCAGAGAGTCTAGGATGACTAGGTAATATGTATATAAATGCACTGATGACTATTCTATAAAGGATAAGAGCTGGACTATTTATCATAACAAAGCAAAGGATACCAAGAAGTTACAAGTGCTCATCAGTGAACCTGTATCTTTGTGTTCAGCACTCCCTCTAGTTGAGTAGTAAAATAAAATAGTCATAGTACCAATCCTTGTACTGTGTCTGACTTTAAAAAAAGAATGATTTTACATACAAGCAACAGAATTATAGGCCTTTTACAAAACTACAGTGTTTCTTATATACTAACATTATAGCACTTTTTCCCAAGAGATTTCTCTTTCAAATATTATATAATGAAACAAATAATATTTTTACTACAATGGATCCAAATAGTAAACCAGAACTGAAAGAATATAGAGCCATATGTTTTAGTCACATGAAAAAAGTAGTATAAAGCAGAGAAAAAGTGAGGGAAAAGCCAATGACTGGCTTATAATATATTAAGTGCCAGGGGGAAATGCTACTCCATATATCACAAGCTAGATTCTTCTAAATCAACTTAGTAACTTTATAAAATTTTCTACACTTTTTATGTGAACCAGAAGCTAATTTGCTTATAGAATTTTTAAGCTCATAGGAAAAACTGTCATAATTCTTTTACTTTTTACAGGTATATAATGAATATACAACATTTTTTGATAATTTTTAAACTAGATGATTTTTAAATTTTAAAAATTTAAGGCCAGGGGAGAGAAGAAAATGAGTAATCAGGAAGGTAAAGTTGGGGGAAGAATGGAGAAGAAGAGCAAGGAAAGAGATACCTTAATAGAGGGAGCCATTATGGGCTTAATGAGAAATCTGACACTAGGGAAATTTCCAGAGATCCACAAAGACTATACCAACTAAGAATCTAAGCAATAGCAGAGATGCTACCTTAAATGCCCCTCCCCTATAATGATTGATGCCTACCTTAAAAGCCATCATAGAGCCTTCATCCAGCAGGTGATGGAAGCAGAAGCAGAGATTCACAGCTTAGCCCTGAACCAAACTACTGGAATCTAGTTGTAGAGGGGGAGGTGGGACAAGCAAAGGAGTCAAGACCATGCTGGGGAAACCCACAGAAACATCTGACCTGAGCAAGTAGGAGTTCATGGACCCCAGTCTGACAGCTGGGGAACCAGTGTAAGACCGAACCAGGCTCCCTGAATGTGGGTGTCAGTAGGGGGGCCAGAGTCTATGGAGTCTCTGGCAGTTGAACCAGTATTTATCCCTAGTGCACGAATGAGCTTTGGGAGCCCATTCCCTATGGAGGGATACTCTCACAGTCTAGATACACGGGGAAGGGCCTAGGTCCTGCCCCAAATGTGTGACAGACTTTGATGATCCCCCATGGGAGGTCTCACCCTCCCTGAGATGTGGATGGGCGTTGGTGGGGAGAATGGGAGGACAGGAGTGAGAGGGAACTGGGATTGGTATGTAAAATAAGATTGCTTTTAATTTAAATAAAAAGAAATTTAAAACACTTAAACTTTTTAAGCTAGATTTTGCAGAGATCATTATACAGCCAAATTTTAAATATTTACATATTTCTGGTTAAAAAAGGACTTGTGTAAAACTAGATTAATTTATTGACTTAATTACTTTTATTGTTTTAATTTTGTGCTCAAGGTCAATGCCAGAGCCCTGTTTGTGCTACAAAGGCACTCTAATGCTAAACCATATCTACAACCCACATTCTGATCTGTATATAATATACTGAAAGCTATAGATGAGGAGAGGTAGAGAGCTAGAGAGAAGGGAAGAGAGAAGAGGAGAAAAATGAGAAAGAGAAGCAGAGGAGGGAGAGAGGGAAAGGAAAAGGGATAGAAGAAAGGGAACAGGGAAGAGAAGGAAGGAAGAAGAAGAGAAGAGAAAAGGGGAGGGAGGGAGGGAGGGGGGAGGATATGAAAAAGGGGAAACCATAGCATGCAAGAAGCATTTTGCTGAGAGATATGCCATTGCCATTTCAATGTCCAAAGTTTAACAATGATTCTTAGGTAGCAATTCTTGGCAAGCATTTCTATGAGTGCTAATAAAACAAAACAACACAAAACAACAGCAACTACCAAATGAAAGGGATCTGTGAATACTTCAGAATAGCTACTGGCTCTTTACTACCCATTAGAAAAGCTAAATGGATTATTTAGGCATTATCATCAAACTAGGCATTTGCTTTTTCTTTGCACTATCAGATGCCACTGTGTGTCACCCACTGTTCACTGACACTCTCTATGAGAACGACAGGTGAGAACAGTACTTAGGCTTAACCATGCTTCACTATGTATTTCTGATTTTACCTAAGAAATCAGTAAGTTATTGGCTCTTCTCTCCTGACAGAATATTTGACTACAAATAATGAAGCAGCTTTTTTCTAGGTCTATTAATGACAAAGAAGATGAAAGATTTCAAAATGAAATGTAAGAATCACACAAAAGATATAGGAACTTGCCAGTACTCAACAAGCGGCCCACACCAGTTCTCACATTTGCCTATAGTCAAAAAATGGAGTCAATTCTCACATTATCTCATCTGAGAGGACCTTCTGTTCTTTTCCTGCTAGTGGGATTGTGCTGTGCTTCCTTCAGAAGAGGAAGCAAGAAGGTCACCTTCCAAGATCACTGTAAAGGGTCTGGCGGTGCATGGGTAAGCAGGGAACACAGTGCAAATAAAACATGTAGACAGAAAATATGACTGTGGGGATACATTGTTTATGATCTAATAAAGCCACTGAAGATCAGAATGCAAAGCCAGACACACCAATTAGCCAGAGAAGCTGGACAGTAGTGGCACATACCTTTTATCCTAGGACTCAGGAGACAGGCAAATAGATCTCAGTGAGTTCAAGGCCACCCAGGACTAATGACAGTGAATCAGTCTAAAAGAGTAACAGAGCTCATGCCTTTAATCCCAGAACTAGAGAGGTATATAAGGAAGAAGCAAAGGGCTCATGTGGAAATTAGTGTCCAGCCACGTTAAGGACAGGAAGAGATCTAGTTTCTAGTCACAGGGAAGACAGGATCTCCATTTCAGACTTGGTAGAGGTAAGAGTTACTGGATGACTGCTTTGCTTCTCTGATCTTCAGCTTGAACCCCAATATCTGTCTCTGAGTTTATATTAATTCATAGTACATATAACAATCTTTAGTAGATGTCCCTAAAATACAGCCCTGAACAACAAATTAGAAAAAGTGAGGGCAGAGCCCAACCTTGCAGATCTTGTAGAGAGATTCCTGTCCATCTCCTCCTGTGTCTTTGAAGTAATCATGTGCAGGAAACGTACGATGAATATCTCGAGTAATAACACTCTCTTGTGCAGAGTCCTAAAAAGGAAAACAAAAGTGGAATTGATTATTCATGTAAAATTATTTTCAATTACGTAAAATAATACATGTACATAAAAGTTTAAAGGATATAAAAAAGTATACCTAAAAAATCTAACCTTTCAAAAAATAAAATAAAATAAAATAAAATAAGCCATTAGGGAGAGTCAGGAAGTAAAGGCTCTTGTAACCAAATCTGATGACCTGAATTTGATCTCTAGGACCCATATGGAGGTAGGAGAGAACCAACTATTGCAAGGCCTCTAAACTCCACATGTACACCATGGCATGCACATACCCCCACACATACATACATACATACATGCCCACACAAAATAAAATGTAAAAGCAAACAACCTCTCTCCTTTAATTGGAGACACTTTACTGCTCTACCTAAGGTAAATGCCACCACCTTTCATCCTTTCACATGTCTGTCTACAAGGTGTGTGCGTGCATTTGTGTGTGTTTATTTGGGAAGACTGAAAAAAAATTTGTATACCCACATTTCTAGAGAAAAACTGTGTTTCTTTCACTTACTGAGATCAATTACAGATTGTTCCTTATCAAGACAAAATCAGCTTTTAAAAAAGAAGGAAATACATCTGTTTTTGGGTATACTATAATTTCTTTAATATTATCCTATTAGCATTTTTCTATTTTTTCATTTCCTAAAGAATACTTTTGTTTGTGTGTATATAAATATATATACACATATATATTTGTTGTTTTAAAGATTTATAATTCATTGTTTTATTTTAGTTTATGTGTGTGTTTCTGTGAAATTATGTCACATGTGGGAAGGTGTCCACAGAGGGCAGAAGACAAGCAGAACCCATGAATTTGGTGTTACAGTTGGTTGTATGCCAGAAGATATGAGTTTTTGTAACTGAACTCAGGTCCTATAGAAACTCTTTTAACCATAAGCTGTCTGTTCAGCCCCCCTGCATGTGTGTCTGTGCACATGCATGTGCATGTATGTGTGTGCACGTGTGCATGCGTATGCATGTGCATTTTAAAGGATAAATTCCTAAAAGTCCAACATGTATACAGTTTTAGGGTTGTTACTAAGGCTAGCAGTAGACTGGATTCTCCTGCCTCCATCTCCAGAGTACTGGGACTATAATCATAGATCACCAGGCCTAGTTGTACTTTCAGGTTTGATTCAGATATTCTCCCTCTAGAGCTGCCATAATTACATGTACTTCAAATAATAATAGAGCACATATTTCTTTTCATTGCTAAATAATGTGTTTTCTATTTTTTAATCAAGGGCAATATGGTAAATGAAACTTTGATCACCCTCCTCCCCACCACACACACACACACACACACACACACACACACACAGAGAGAGAGAGAGAGAGAGAGAGAGAGAGAGACTAAGCTAATTGCATAACTCATTCATTCTACAATTAAGAATCCTACAACCTACAATATAGAAGCTTACATTTTAAAACATGAATTTAAGAAGTGTTTTTATAGAAATTTGGAAAAGGAAAGCTCAAAATTATATAAAATTCTGAACTTCGTTTTAAAAAGACTGAGTATTACCTTGGTTTTATTTTAATCCTGGAAATATTTGTTTTATCTATTTAATTGTCAAGAAAACAGGATGAATAGCTTTAATGATGAAAATACTTTGTACAATTCATAGATGTATTAAAGACTGCTAATTGCAAATTAAATGCACTGTTTAATGTCTTGATTCCTCAAAGACTGAACAAATAGACTTTCCGCCCCATAGCAGAAATGGAAGGGTGTTTAAAATGTGAGTTGCTTTAATGACACTGGTTCCTTCTCCTTGTAGCTGAGAAGCATACAAGGAGCAGGCAGCTGATCAGCTAAGTCAGGACCTTCTCTTGCTGCCTTTTCCACATCAGCTGTTACTTCATGCTGGGTGGTAATTAGATCTTATATCATGTAGAGTAAGAAAGGAAGCAAAATGACACGTTCTAAATTTGCTAGCATATGTTTGATAAGGCAGTCCAGAGGACATTCTGGTGGCTTACATGAATGGAATACTAAAGCTGAATAAACATGGAACTTTAATGTTTTAAATAGCTTAAGTAAAAGGAATAAATACATAGAAAGAACTGATACCAGCACTCAGGAGGCAGAGGCAGGCAGATCTCTGTGGGTTCGAGGACAGCCTGGTCTCCAGAGCGAGTGCCAGGATAGGCTCCAAAGCTACACAGAGAAACCCTGTCTCAAAACCCCAAAAAAAACAAAGAACAAAAAAAAAAACCTGATACTTGATGAGGAAATGAATTTTCTAACATAGTGAAGATTTGGGAGATGTCTGGAAGAGGGTAAGCAGAATGCTAATATATAAAAAAATTACATTACAGACGTAAGGATCTGTATGTCAGTGGTGGAACACCTGTTTAGCATGTGGGATTCTGAATATGAAAACCTGATAACCAAATAGTCTGATTCAGAGGAAGAGAAATTGGTCAAAAATTTCTAAAAAGTATGTTTGCATATCACTAAGCATAATTTATCTATGCATTCTTGATCTGCCTTATTTACAAAAATAAAGGAAAATAAAACTAATACTTTCTGATAACTTTCCTTTCCTGAGTTTTTTTTTTTTTTTAAGTTCACCCAATATAGGGCCTCAAATGGACAATTACTCTACTGTGATCACAATTTTAATTGCATCTAATTTTAAATGATACAGAAATATAGACACAGAGTATAATGTGCTATAATTTGGATGTGGTTTTAGTACATCACTTAAGGGTTCATACATTGGAAATTTGGTTCTAATTGGGGGATAATAGGAGATGGTGAAACCTTTAAAAGGTGGGTCCTAGTGTATGGTGGAGGAGCACTGTCCTTAAATAAAAAATTACTGTAATTCTTGTGGATCTCAGGCTAAGTCTTGTGACAAAATTGTTTGAAAATGGAAGTAACAGCTCCTCCCCCCACCCCAACTCTTCTTTCCAGTCCTAAGTCATCTCTCCCTCTTCACGCATGCTTTCAACACCATGGAGGTCACCCATCTGGTGTGCTCAAAATTACCCAACCTTGGGTATTTTGTTTTAAGAGTAGACAGGCTAAAGTAATGTGCAATGTTCAAAATAAAGGTACTTAGTAAACCCATTACCATTGTGTGCACCATTCTCACGTATGTGTGTGTGTGTGTGTGTGTGTGTGTGTGTGTGTGTGTGTGTAAATGGGATCAAGATACATGATGTGAAAAACACATGGAATAAATATTTTCTCTACTAGTCATTGTATAACACTCAAGTTATTACTGCCAGCTATAGTTATTCTACACATCCTATAACATCATGCTTCTACTTCTCTTTATTTGAGGAATCACCCAGCTGAAGAAGGGTCAAATAATTCATCATATAAATGTGTGTAAAAGGTTTCAGGTAAAAAAAAAAACCAGTTATTTATATATTTCTAAAAACCTTTCCTAGCACAACAGAAAATGATGAGGTTATCTTCTTGAAAGACCTCATAGCAGAACTTGTCGAAGACATGGCAATTGCCTCCACTGTGAGAATACAGAAATCATCCTTCCATGGACTTCCACTTGACCACTGTCTAGACTCCCAACTTAACCCATAATTTACTTCTCAGGAAAAACAGTACCCATTCTGGTCTTCAGAATTGACTGTGGTGGTTCAGCAGCCAGACTGTGATATACCGTCTGTTTTTCTCACAATACCAACAGAATTTGAAATGAATTATTTGTTCTTATGGAGTATCAGTTTCTCTGTGAACATCAAATATATATAGTATTGCTTAGAATGATATAATACAAGTAAGAGTGTTTAACACTCTACCTATTATATATTGAGCATGCAATATTTAACTGTTTAAATTTTTTGATGAGTATATACTTCAGACATTCTAGAGACCTTCCATAATTTAAAGAATAAATGAATATCTTTGAGTAGCGTAAGAATCATGATTAGGAAGCCAATTCACTAGAATTTATTAATCTATACATACTCTACTCTTAACTACTTACCACACATACATGTCCTAAATTATAACTGTATCTATTAATCTAATAACAAAAAACAAAGTGAGAAATTATTGGCTCCAGGTTTCACATAACTGACCCAACAAAGAAAGTTTTCAGCAAGAATACTATGAAGGAGGATGAGAAAGATGGTAAAGTTGTGGCAAAATCTACCAAGACAGTCACCATTTCTACCATTACTTCAGAAATCAGATTCTAAAGAACAGTTGAAGTCATGGTTATGAAGAAGACATATGGCACTGCAATAATTGCATGTTTCCCTGTGGAACATCACTAAGAACTTCACTTACAGTCTAAGTCCGAAAGGCCCTCCTTTCTCTTGCCTTGTTAGGTTAGCCCATATTTGGGACCACAAAACAAGAAAAAGTTTGTAACAAAGTCTGAAAGGTTCATTCTTATCCTGCATACAAGTCTATCACCATACCAAAATAGAAGTCTACCTTTCAAATTTTTGCCTTTTTCCAAATTTTTAAGTCCTAAGACTAAACCTATCCTCAAGAAAGGTAGAAAATCCATGGTCCAACAGAGGTACCATGCAATTTGTTAAATATCAGTTTAAAAGCAAGCCAAAGAGACATGATAAAGAGTTTATCTTCAGGCACATTCAAATGAAGTTTCCCATCAAGAATGTTGCATGAGATCCAGTGGCACATATATACCTGGCATTCTTGTAATTCTCATAATTCCTACCAGAAGAGAATCATCGCTTACTTGTTTCTTGTAGAAAAAAAGTGAATACAGCACTCAAGTGTCAAGAAGCATTAGGAAGACAGGCTTGGAAGGACCACATCCTATTATTTTTTTTATGAAACAACTTTTGAGCTGTCAAGAACTAAAACGGCATTATAGTAAGGGTGACTACTTCCACACATGGCCTTAACAGGTGTGTGAAACACCTGGCGACACCTTGGTTTTTCATATTCCTAGCACCATGACAGAACCTTTTTGCATCAGTCAACCCTAAAGCATCAGATGTGCTGTTACTTCCTATCTACCA